CTGTTAGCATTAACAATGCAGCTGTTAGCATTAGCAATACACCTGTTAGCATTAACAATACACCTGTTAGCATTAGCAATACTCCTGTTAGCATTAGCAATACACCTGTTAGCATTAACAATGCAGCTGTTAGCATTAGCAATACACCTGTTAGCATTAACAATGCAGCTGTTAGCATTAACAATACTCCTGTTAGCATTAGCAATGCAGCTGTTAACATTAGCAATGCAGCTGTTAACATTAACAATGCAGCTGTTAGCATTAAAAATGCACCTGTTAGCATTAGCAATGCACCTGTTAGCATTAGCAATGCAGCTGTTAACATTAACAATGCAGCTGTTAGCATTAAAAATGCACCTGTTAGCATTAGCAATGCACCTGTTAGCATTAGCAATGCAGCTGTTAGCATTAACAATGCACCTGTTAGCATTAGCAATGCACCTGTTAGCATTAGCAATGCAGCTGTTAGCATTAGCAATGCACCTGTTAGCATTAGCAATACACCTGTTAGCATTAGCAATGCAGCTGTTAGCATTAACAATGCAGCTGTTAGCATTAGCAATGCAGCTGTTAGCATTAACAATACTCCTGTTAGCATTAACAATGCACCTGTTAGCATTAACAATGCACCTGTTAGCATTAACAATACTCCTGTTAGCATTAACAATGCACCTGTTAGCATTAGCAATGCACCTGTTAGCATTAGCAATGCACCTGTTAGCAGCAGGGCTGGGTATCATGGCTAATTCCTTAAATGAATGAAATTTCAGTTCCTAAGTTTTGGAGTTTGTTGATCCTGATTTGATTCTGCTCTGAAATAATGAAAATGTTAAACTGTGTTGAAAAATACAAATGTACTTTATTTTCTCTTCACCAGAAAATAAAGGTTTTCAGTGAGAACTTGTAAATTGGAGAATTTCAACAAGTTGAACTGTAAACAAAACAAAGGTGCAGTTTTCACATGAGAAAGGAATTTCAGATGAAAATATATTAAAATTACTATAAATGTCATTAAGATTATCCATTTATTAGATCAGTTCCACCAAACTGTAGACTCTGAGTGTTTTACAAACAGAACCTGCTTGTTTCTTCAGTTTCAGATTATGTATGAAAAGTTTAAAGTAAAGAATGTGCTCAGTCTGTTTCTGATGTTTCTGTTACTGGTAACACATTCAAAGTATTTAATTAAAATGTTGAACCCAGTTTTCAGCAGTTGAGCAGATTTTCCTGACATTTTGTGTCGTGGCAGCATCGCAGTGTTCTCTTCACTGCAGCCATTTCCTGTCTTTCACTCTGCGGTCCTCACTAACACAACTTCTCATGTAGAAACAGGCGTTGAGCTACTTCCCCATTCTTGGTCACAGTTGCTCAATTGAGACGTGTTCAGGAGCCACGTGAGAGCTGGGAATGCAGGATTTATTAAAGGAGGGCGGGTCAGACGGAGGGGCTTCCCCAGCTCTCAGACTTCATAACAAAAATGTTGAAGGGAAACTGTAGAACCAGAACCAGGATTTATTAAGCTCTTTATTTTTCT